ACCATTATGCCACTTTGGCATTCCACTTAGGCATCGCTAATCGCTATCGCGTTTGGCATGACGTCGATATAATGCTATTTTTACAGTCAGCCTGAAGAGCAGCAATCCCCTAACGTTTGGTCGGTTAGGTACAAGTTACTCTGGTCTCAGCAACAAATGGATTTCCTTCAGTTACTGATACTGAAGGCTGAAGCGCGGTGCCGTGCCAACAGTTCATTTTGTCGAGGTCGGAGTATGAGTGACGTCTACTCCAGTGGCTCAACGCTATTCATCGGACTCCGCGATTCCCCGATAGCCGACTTAAAACACCGTCAGATGTGCAACCCACCCCATTGTTACAGTTGTTGTGTTCACTAGTTATCTGATTTGCACAAATCATGACAGCTGGAGTCGCTTCTAGTTGTGTAATGACGTTATCAAAGTTACACCGTAACGTTCTGATAAGTGAGAGATGAGTGGACAATGGACATGGAACATAAGCGCACCGTGCACCTCACACCGGTGTGCCCCTAAGCTCTCCCGTACAGGTGCAGTCGCTGAAGCTAGCAGTTCGTATGTCGCCACGCCGCGGCCCGGTTACGCTGAATGGCCTCGTCGTCTGCATCCACGCGCCTCTGACATTGAATAGAACCTCCAGTGTCCGTCATCCGCCTGTCAAAACGCACCCTCCTGCTATTGCGCACCTGCAAATTGCAATGTTGCAGCAGCAGCGAGAAGGAAAGAGCTCCGGAACGACCCTGAACTTGTTGAGTGGCAAAAGAGCGAAGGCTGACTGGATAACAGGCGCATTTGTTTTAGCTCGCGCCGGGAGGGGTAAGCCTATTACCTAATCCTCTCCTAGCAGTGTCCCAGCAAGCAATTTGGTTAGGCTCAAGTCCGTTTTGCCCCGACAACTCCGACATACCAGATTTGGGCCGGTGTAAACGGAACGCCGTCGAAACAGGGGGTTTCGGTCGATAAGGCTCCATTCCGGTTACCCCGTCTTTGCCGTAACGCTCCGGAGTTGGTATGGTTTTGGACCGTCAAAGCCGGCTCAAGTCCGGCTCCCTGCTATGGGTTCGGCTGCCTCGTAGCTGCTCTGGCTTACTGTGGCTGAAGTACGGTTGAGGTACGACACAGCTGATGCGGCTTTCAAACGATGAGTGTTAAACACATTTGTTTTACGCTGTATGTCCAATAGCCGATATTGAAATTCAGAAACTCGTTGCATCCATCATGCCAACCCAGCCAAACGAACTAAGTTTCAATGTAACCGTTCCGATCGAGACGTTTAGGCTAGGTGTGTGTATGGGAGCGGTGGGGGAGTGACCTTTGCCTTCTTTTTAGATCGAGGTCACTTGGAGTGACCAACGACCCGACCTGGCCTAAGGTCAGTCACACTTGTCCTGAAGACACGCCATACGTGTTCGAAAAATAGCGGGCTACAAAAAAAAAACTATGGAACGTTCAACATCTTACACTAAAACGGGCTGAGATTAACCCTCGCACTGGCAGGGGGGGGGGGTCGATGCGACCCCCCCCCCCCCAAGGTTTTTCGAAGATAGCGTAAAAACGGCGGCGCGCAGCGCCGCCAAATTTGGCACAGCCTATGGGGCAACCTTTTTACATATGACCTGAAAATTTCAGGTCCGGGTGACCTTGGGTCAGGTCACCAGGTCAGAAAAACCGTACAAGGTCATGCTCAAATTTCAATTTTCTGTTCGCACCTGTCCATTTCCAACTCACAGTTTTAGACTGATTTCCTTCAAACTTTCAGGGTGTGCTAAGTTCACCGAGTTGTATAACATATAGTTCGGGTTTTTGAGGTCACTGACCTGAGGTCAGTTAGAGGTCATTACGTCATAATGTTAAGCCTATGGGAAAATACTAAATTCGGAAAATACTGGAGATATCCGCTTCGTTCTATCACTTTTGTGCTTTGAAAGCAGGTCACTTGGTGCTTCTTTGTTTGGTGTACTTATCCATGGGTCAGGTCAAATGAGGTCAACCGAGGTCAAATGACGTTTTTGCCAATAACTTGGCACATAATGAAGCTAGAGCTTAAAAAATGGTGTCACTGTGTTCCTTGTGATCAGCCGAATCGAACGATATGCGATATGATGCAATTTGGATAAGTTGAACTTAATTAATTAATTAAAGTTCACTTAAAATTTAAGAAAAAACTTTAAGTACACTTAACCCGCGCCCTGGTGGGGTCTGTTTATAACGCGACCTGGTGGGGGGGCTATTTTTTGCCCCCCCCCCCCTCGTATCTCCGAAACTACTGGACGGATCCGCAAAATTCAAACGGCGTTCGAAAGGCCTGTCATTTTTGTCCAAGGAAACCAAATTTCATTGACCTCGGGGTCACCGATGACGTCACAGGTCAGGTCAAAGATGAAATGTTTCACCGTTCACGGGTCTTCTAGGGAATGCGCTATAACACCGAGGAAAACGCATTTTGTCGAGAATCAGCGATAGGGCGTCAGTTGCCTAGTAGATATGTTGCTATTAGAGGTCACTGACAATACCAGGTCACGTCACAGGTCAGGTCACCAAGGGTCACAGGTCAGGTCACATGAGCCCAACTTTACTAAGGTTGTGTGATGCATGTTTTATGGCCAATTTTTCATTTCCAACTCAATGGTGTTGGTTATAAGACTATCAGGTACGGCTTAGGTCACTTTCTGGTGAAGTTCAGGTCAAGGTCAGGTCAAGGTCAGGCCAAAAAAGGTCAAATTTTAAAGTTGATAGTTTTGCATAAAATGGGTATTGATTCGATGCAGCTCGTCACGGGGAGTCTAATGGTGGTCTTTGTTTTGCGCTACGGGGTCTAGAATTGCTAAAAATTGAGTTTGAAAATTTGACGTCATCAATTTTGAACAGTTTTTTCGCTATAACTTCGCCAAAAAAAGAGGTATCAATCTCAAATTTGGTATGTGGATGGAAGGCGGTAAGGACTATCACATATATTCCGGTTTTTGCGAAATTCAAACAACTTTTTGGATTTTTCGATCATTATATCAAAAAAAAATATTTTTTGATTTTTGGGGGTCAAAATCCAAAAATTTCAAAAATCCGAGATAGCAGTTTTGTAGCCCTGTCAATTTTGCAGCTTTTATGTCCTTATCATTTTTCTGTATTTGCAAAGCTATAGGCCTGACAGCTCTTCCCACGAAACCCTTTTTTGGGTCGAAAACGGCAGAACATGACGTCACTCTGACGTCATTTCCGGCCAACCTATCATAGCCTTTGGAAAAATTTTTGGTCACCATGTGTAAAATTGATGTCCGGGAGGGTACTGAAAGTTTGGTGACGATCGGCGCAGCGGTTCTGGAGATATATCGAAGTCTGGAGGGGGGGGGGGGGGGGGGCAAAAAATAGCCCCCCCCCCACCAGGTCGCGGGTTAACCCTATTAGTGGCAGGGGGGGGGGGGTTGTTTTTATCCACCCCTCAGGTTTTTCGGGAATATCTCCGAAACCGCTGAAGCTACGATGCTGAAATTTTCTGACTTTTCCTAAAACTAAATTGGGCACATTCCCTGAAAATTTCAAGTTCATAACTTTACCAGGGGCGGCTCCAGAGCACTGGGAATTGGGGGGTCCTATTCGTGAAGCGAGTCATTTGGGGAAGATCACGATGCTGCACCAGTTTTACGAACAGTGAATGAAAGGTATCATGTGATAACATATACAAAGTTATTGTGCATCCTCTTTTGACACGTTTTTGCTATAATAGGCGGATCCAGGCGTCCAAAAAGGGGGGTTATTTTTTACCTCCCAACATAGGTGCCCTGACACCGCCTATGCATGACCAATACAATTTTAGTCGTTCTCTCATAAGAAAATTGTAACATAACAAGACCACTGCCACCCTTTTTAGAAACAGTACCAACAAAAACCTTATTTACTATACTTTTTGTGTACCCCCAATCTCAATGATCTGTATCCGCCTATGATTTTTTGAAAATGCATATTTTTAGGATCCATGTGAATTCCTGGTTCATTCTCTATCGATCGGCAAAAGTTGCGTTAAGATTGGTTCAGAAACCTGGCCGTGATAAACAGTCTAAAATGTATGGGGTAGCCAGGAGCCTGCCACTAATAGGGTTAAGCAAGCTAAAAAGTATACCATTCGACGCGCCTTGACGTGTTGAGTTCACTGGTGCTTTTCTTTTTGCTCTATCTTAAATAAATCAAAAGTTATAAGCGAAAATTTTTTGACATGTTTTTAGCGAAATTTTTACATTTATGTACATCCCCCCAAAACCCCCCTAAATATTGACCTAGAGCAACCAAAATTGCACAGGAGCGAGAACTCCAAAGGGCCCACCTACCTACCAAATTTGGTGTTTCTAGGTGCCATAGGAGCCAATCGCGAGGGGGGGGGTCGCATCGACCCCCCCCCCCCTGCCAGGCCGTGTTATGAAAAATGCCCTGCCAGGGCGAGGGTTAAACGGACAGGAAACAGGCGAAACAGTGCATATGTTCGCAAAACGTGTGAGGATGCACGTGCCACAAGGCATAAAAAAATCCGTAAACCTAAACCTAAAAAAGCACTTCAACGATGATCCAAAAATAATCATATATCACTAGGTAGGTACTATCCGTACTTGAAGTGACCCCAGTGAACATATAGGTGCACGTAATTATTTCAGAGACCAAATATATGCGTCAATGATTACGTGCACCTGCATTATACCGGTAGACCCTAACCCACAATAGTCTCACAACGTAACATCTCTCCATCCAGTGAAAATGCATTAACACGAGACATGCATCATTCAACCTGACCTCAAACGTCCAAAATTTGAAGGGACTACGATCGACTACAGGGAATTTCTACCTAGCAGCTGCACTCGATTCCCGTGTCCTGGATAAAGTGATAAAAAAATTATAACCCCTAAATGGCAAAGATTTGAGCAAACACGTTCGTCTACCCTAAAGAACAACTTACTTACCCCTGCAAACCCGGAACTGGCCCTATACCTCACACCTTTCGCTCGGTGCCGAGATGACCGTTACCGAAATGAGTGTATTCTCCACTGCTACGAGCAAACATCCTGACACACTCATCACAGCGATTTTGTACACTCTCACGAGCACAGTCTACAAATTCAAATACAAAAATGTGCACTACGGCTGGCAAATGAGGGGGGAATGGGGTTCAGATGAGAGCAAAGACGCGTCCACAGGCGTGGCGCCGATGACTGAGCGCGGAATGGGTGCGGTGCGTCGGGCGGCGCGGGGCCGGAGCGGAGTCGGACACTCACCTGGTGCGGCGCAGGACGGTCCGGACGGGGGTCGGACGTGGCAGTGAGCCGGCCGGACGGACAGACTCGGGTCACCGGAGAGCGCCGGGACTCGGAACTGGACGGCGGAGAGCGGCCTCCCACCCGCCCGCTGGTGCACCGACACGACCGGACGTCAGGTCTGGGTGGTTTATTGTGAGAGAGAATGGACGCGGGCAGGAGACAGGACAGCCAACACAAAACGGACGCACGCCGTTACAAAAATATGACACATCGCGTCCGACTGCGGTTCGCCTAGCCCCGGGCTGGGACTGCTCGCCCCAGCAGCCCGCCACTGCCATTACCAACCCACGCGCCCCCCAGCGGCCCAGTGTCGTCTGGATTACGGAACGGCGGCGCTGCCACAGCAGGTAAGCGACTGAACTACGAAAGCGCGGTTTTATCAGAAAATGTTCTTCGAAGTTGCCGAAGGTGGGCCTGTGCTGAGACACCACCTCAAACGGTAACATTCTGGACATGATTCTACGCTGAAAACGCCCATAAACGCGCATGAGAAAGCGATAGTCGTCAAAGAAATAGCCAAGCACTACAAAACTTCGTCGCAAGACCGATGTAAATGCCAGTCGATTCGCGATACTAAGTGAAATCAAAACAATAGCACTGGGTGGAGCCACGCCGGCCTCGACAGCCGCGCGGACGACACCGTCACACAATCCTCACAGATGCTGAATGGAAACACACAGGCGCGCGCGCGCGCGCAGGATGTACTGCTAAGAGCCGGGATGAGGACCCACCCCGCGGGCGACGCGCGACCCGGCGCCGCCGTTACCCGGCGCTCTACAGTACACATCTAGCAGACACGGGAGGCACGCACGCGCGCGTGCGGCCGGCACGCGCGGGGACGGGACCCGGTAGCGCAGGATGTGATGGGACGCCGTCTAGTACGGCTGGAACTTGTTACGCTTCTGGTCGCGCGGTGGCGACGAGCCGCCGGGCGGCGCGCGCATGCCGCGCGGGTTGTAGGGCTTCTTGTTGACGCCGGTGGTCTGGACGGAGCCGTTGCCGCCGAGCAGCTCCTGGAGCCCGCCGAGCGAGCTCAGGTTGATGTTGGTCAGGGCGGAGAGGGCGTTCAGGGCGGCGGGGTTCTTGAGGAGGTTGGCCAGCGGGATGGCGGAGGGGTTGAGCGCACCGCCCTCCTCGTCGCCACCCTGTGCGCCCTCCAGGTTGGCTTTGTGCATCTCCACGCTGCAGGGATAGAGAGAAGACGGCCGGTGCGTGATCGGGATGGGTGGGACGGGGCCGGGCCGCGCGGGACAGACGGGAACGATTACTACCGAATATAAACAAACAGAAAACACCGACAGAACGGACGCATGCTGTCAGTTGTAGGGGACGACATTTAGATGGGAGTTCGTAGGAGAAAAACGCAAATGAATAGACAACCAAATAAAATGAATGTTACAGGAGCACCAGAAAGGAGAAATGAGGAAGCCGAGATAAGATATAGTATCAGTTAAATATTTATTTGATAACTTTAAGAGTTGGGTGCCTAAATTTCGAGGAAATGATACAGACACAACAGGAAAGCAAAAACAGCGGGAAACCGGAAACCATGTGTTTGAGCAGTAAGAATAGACCCAGGAAAGCAGTTACACATGATCAGGGGCACCAGAGCAGTGCAGAAGTCAGTGGAGGGGACGCGGGGGCACTGGTACACGGGTTAAAGGGACCTATATTCGGTCAGTAACTAGCCGGGATCTGACCAGCGGGAGTTCTAAGGTGCTCCGACCGGTCGCACGGGTATGTCAAGAAACATTCGGCTGCGAAGAGGTCAGGACAGCTGCTGCAGGGGACTACGGATCGCGTCAGGCACAGGACACTAGAAAGGGAGCTGATTTCTAGTAAATAATCGGGAACTCTGGAACACGTCAGCTAAAACGAGTCCACAGCCCTGCTCCGGCTGGGATCAGGACCTGCGCTATCAGGTACAGGTCATGTGAGCTGCGGAATTCAGGTACAGGTCAGACAGCTGCGGAATTCAGGTACAGATCAGACAAAGCTGCAGAATTCAGGTACAGGCCTGCAGTGCAGCTGGCTTCAGGAACGGAGCTGCGTAATTCAGGTACAGGCCTGCAGTGCAGCTGGCTTCAGGAACGGAGCTGCGTAATTCAGGTATAGGTCATTGTTAGCAGCAGGGTATCGTCAGGACTCAGGACCTGCGAGAACAACCACACCGGGATCAGGTCACACATTCGCTACACCACGAGGACCAGCCATTATCGGAGCGGTCAGAACAAAGAACAGGATCGCCCAGAATCATGATCAGTGCGAGGAAAGACATGATAGTTGAGAAGTGATGATTTAGCCGAGCTCGGCAAGGAAAAGTTTAATTCGTAATACTGATTTGCGTATGGCGTTAATTTCACCAAACCAACTACCACTATAAGACCGCGTGTTCTACCCTCCGTTTGTCCAAGGTGTTTTCTATGTTTTCCCTGTGTATAGTGTTCATGCAGCTCGCCGAGTGTGAGCTCCGTCCGGGCGACGTTCCAGCCCGGCCGCAGCCCGCCGGCGCCTCCAGCGCTGGTGTCGGACTCTGCCAACAGAACGCACACACACGTCCGGCCCTCACCTGGTGTTGATGAGATACTGCGCCAGCGCCACCTGGTCGCTGGTGCCCTTGATGGTGATGATACGCTCCTGGTGCGTGGCGTCGTCGGTACTGTCGTCAAACTTTGAGATGGTGATCATCGCGCCAGTCAGTTGCCTGCCGGACGAAAGGGGGCGTTAAAGCAGGCGCCGGTGGCAGATAGGTATCGTGTCTGTCTCGAGAGACCTTGGTATCCCTCCCCTCAAGCAAAGGCTTCTATGCAGATCGAGCAATCAATAAAGCACAGCATTTGCCCCAAAACCAGCCCATTTGTGTGACCATTAAATAAAATAGTCCGCTTCCTAAACATTTGGGCGACTTCGAATGTCAAACACTTCCATACCACCGCGTCATAACCCGGCGACCCTCCAGGCAAATCTGCGCCCGCGGTTCCCATCTTACCTGATCTCGGCGATCTTGGTGCCGCCCTTGCCGATGATGCAGCCGATCAGCTCATTCGGCACGGTGATCTCATGAGTCTGTGTGCCGGGCCCGCTGCCCTGGGGCGCGCGCAGCTGGGAGCCGGCCAACGCGGCGAGAGCCGTCACCGCTGTGGGTCAGAGAGGAACAGAGTAGGGTCAGACCAGAGCTGAGGCGATAGCAGACTGGCGAGCCCATCATAAAATACATGAACAATGTAGCTAACACGAAATAACAGTTCTGCAAAAAATTTCACAACACCAAACAAGTAGCGCCCCCAACACCAGACGTCCAGCTGTTCCAACGGCAAAACAAACAACTCCAGCCACCGTACACCCCTAACTAGACATTGGTTCTTAGCCGTCACCACTCACCCGATGTGCTGGCCTGCAGTGAGTTCTGCGGTCCGCCCATACCGCCGCCGCCGCCCAGGTTACTCAGTAAACCGGCCAGAGGGTTGTTGCTCTTGGGCTGCTGGAAGACGGGGTCTCGGTCAGGCCCTCGGCGTCTCGATAAAACCATTGGGCCTCGTGATACATAAGCTACTGTCGCATCAGAGCAATCAACTAAAACACGATAAATGAGTGCAAGAGAAGTAACTGGCAGAAAAGACAGCAATAATGTAGCATTTTATTTGACACTTCACCCAGTGATTGATGGTCACGCCACCGTGTCTCCCGTCCTGGACATACCTGGAATCGGCTGGGTGCCGGCTCGTACGACTGAAAACGGCCAAACACACCAGTCAGCATTGATCTACTGCACAGACGGGACTGCACGGCCCTCATCGTCAAAATGACTAGCCCTCCCTTCTCATGGAACCTTGACGAATGCAACTGTAATTTGAGGAGCTGAGGCCATGTCATATTTTAATGATATAAATGGAAAGGACACCAATATCTTGGAGATGAGTCTGTCTGATAACCATGACACCCAGATAATCTATCACTTAAACAACACCCCATTTAGCCAAAAGTGCCAGTGACGGCACTAGCCCGACAGTCAGCTCATCCATGTTCCCCACCCATCCCAAAGTTCCTTTCGCGTTACTCACATCGTGGCCGCCGTATCCGCCGCTGCCGCCGTACCCTCCGCCGCCCATCTGGTTACCGAACGGCGGGTTGCCGCCGAACATGCCCGGTCCGCCGCCGCCCATGGACGGCTTGGGCCGGTACGGGATGGTGGCGCCCTTGGGCGGCGACTCGAGCATCACGCAGCAGATGCGGTACACGCACTGGGTGACCGAGTCGCCGGTGCCCGACAGCGTGACGGCCCGCTCAGTGGAATTGGGCAGCATCTCGCTGGCCACCTGGATGCTGGCACTGGTCGCCTCGCGGATCTCCTTGATCTTGGAGCCGCCCTTGCCGATGAGCGAGCCGCACTGGGAAGCCGGCACGATCATCCGCACCGTGATGGTCGTCTTGCCGCCCGAGCCGCCACCCTGCCGGAGAGAAGTGTCGATCAGTCGACGCATTGTCAGCAGAGTAGCGGGTGCAACAGCCCGAGAGGCGCCTACAGACCTACAGTTTACCTTAGCATTCAGTTACTATCAATTCAAATGGCTATGAAAAGCTCACGGTGCGAAGCGGCGTAAAAGCTCATAGTTCGTAGCAACGTACAAATACATAAGGCATAAACAAGATTAACACATCCACAACACATACAAAACAATGACCTATAAAGGTCATCAAATCATGATCATTACAGCAGACGCCTACAACAGACCAATAGCCCTAACAACTCGGACACTCACGCCGTATTCGTTCTGGTTACGCTCGACCACCTCCTCCAGTTTCTGAGTGATGAGCTGGAAGCCCTTGAAGATGGCCTCCGATGTGCCCATGACGGTCACTATCCGCTCCGGACACGAGCCGTCAGAGATGTTGATCTTGGCGCCACTCTGCGCAGACGCACAGGGCACGCGGTCAGAGTCGGCTAGATCAGATATCAGCAGGATCAGATGGGTCAGATAGTAGGCGTGGAGATATGGTCCGGAATGTCAACAGGGCCAGGGCGTCAGCAGGTTGTCATAGACTCAAGAGCACAGAGGGTTTGAGGGTAAGCAATGCGCCTGTTGATCAGATGGTTGAGGTGTACAGTCGACATTATTAGCGGAGACAAAAGGTAAGTTTGTCTGTGCGGTTTCACTTGTCTGTGCGGACAGACAAGTGAGCGACAGAGTCAGGGGGGGGGGGGGGGCACTGGCGAGGCGAGCACGACAAAAGCAGCAGCTGATGGACGAGCGCAGAGCCCTGGCTGTATGTACACATTGGAGCCAGACCAGAGATGATCACACTGTCATGGAATGGAGCAGAAAATAGACTGCAGGTGGCCAATGGTAGAAACGGTAACAGGAATATCGGAAATCAGAGGCGTTCGCTGGATAACTAGTTAGAAAAGGCGAGATAACCTTTATGAGAATGTTAAAAGCAGCACTAGCACACATTAGCTGCACAAGCAGCAGCACCTTCATTACATGACTCACCGACCAGAAGACAGACGCAGGAGTAAGGTAGAAGGATGGATATGAGACCAGGGATCTCTGGATCAATGCAAAACAAATAGACAGATGTTAGAATTGTGGAAAAGTCATGTTCACAGGTTCAAAAGCTTGAGATTTTATCAATTTTCAGAAACACTATAAAAAAACAAAACTCGATGAAAAATGGAAATGAATACAATGACTACAGTACTGTATCGGTCAGGAACGGATGGTTGTGAAAACAGTTGTCCCACACCCAGCATAAAATAATTGAGGAGCTTCTGAATAGGCTTCAAAACAAATAAAACACCATTTGAATTGCATACATCCGTACAATGTAATATCAATTAATTCCACTAATGTTCACTGATGTTCACTGATTTTATATGCACCAATAACATTTAATAATAGCAACAACATACCTCTTCCCTGAACTTCTTCACAATTTCGCCTTTCTTGCCAATGATGCTGCCAACCTCCTGGAAGAAGGGGGATATTCATCAACATCACAACAAAACGCCTGGTGGTTAACCCTCGCCCATATCGGTGTTTTGCCATCCGCGAACGTATGGGGGGGGGGGGGGTCCGTTAGACCCCCCCCCCCCTTGCCGTTTAGCCCCTGATCGAGCTGGAGCTTCACGGGAAAAAACGAGCGTGTTGCCCGTGACGAGAGGAAGCCGGTGATACCCAATTTTAAGGTCCTAGGTCGCTGGGTGACCATCCAGGTCAGGCCAATGACCCAAAAATAGGGAAAATCGGGACCTGTTAAAACGTCATAAAGTGTGGCTGCTATGGGGTTTTTCGGGGTGCTGATCACGAATATCAAGTTAGTTCTGATCACAAATGATGTTTTCATGCATTCAGGGCAGGTCAGATCAACCAGTAGGGGTCCTACCGAGTATTCGTAGTGTCAACCGCCTCTGACAGCTTCGTAACATGTTATGAAGGCACCAAAACTGCTTCGTAAATGTTCAAATGGTTGTTAAATTCGAATTCAGCTCCAAAAACTAGCCTGGAAACATGTAAAAACCGAAAAAGTGAGCCGACGTCATCAACGGTCAATGACCTGACCTTCAGGTGACCTTGACACCCACCCTAATCCATGGGCCCAACATCATATCACATGTTAGAACGCTTGGAACCACGAAAAGACTGCAAACGCGCGGCTAATGCGAGCCGACATACGCCGAATCGCGATTCCAGACAAACATGGTATCGAAAAGTAGGTCACATGTCAAAGGTTCTTTGGGTCAGGGCCATGAAATGTTCAGGGTAGGTGTAAAATTGATTAATGCGGGGGTACTGAAAGTTTCGTCGCGATCGACCACTTTTTACGCGAGTTATTCGCGAAAAACCGAGGGAGAAGTCCGGACGGGCGAGGGTTAGATAATATTCCTGCCCGGGGACGGGATGATTGAATGCTCCGAGTGCCGTTAGGCCCGAGGTGCTTTTGCTAAAAAAGCGAGGCGACATTTATTGAATTCCGCCCCCCTCGCGTTTTTCGCCAATAACTTCTAAACGCGTTACGCCAGCGACGTCAAACTTTCAGTACCTTATCATACATCAATTTGACATGTTCCCTGAAAATTTGAGCGAACTCTGTCGGAAAATTTTTGAGAAATTGACGTTTTAGTGACGTCTTGTTCGCCATTTTCGCCTCAAAAACGGCTAAATTTCAAACGCCGCTAACATCTTCATTTTTTAAGGCATCAAGACGTAGCAAAAAAGGTTATACGTGATTCTACTTTGTCTATCAAATGGTTATCTCGGTTTTTTGAAAATATTGGATTTTGGTCCAATTTTTTTCCCTAAAAAATTGACTTTTTGGGAAAATAATTATAAAATCCAAAATTTTGAGTGTATCGAAAAAAACAATATATGTCAGCGAAGTGGTCTATGTGCACCTGCATACCAATTTTTAGAAGAATCAGTTAAAAATGTGGAAGTTATTCAAAATTGTATGACGTCACGACACACAATTTTTTTTTTACAAAAAATGATTTTATTGGAAGTTCTGGACCTCGTGCGGAAACAAAAATAGCACCATTCGTTCTGGTATTGCTTTATTTGCCAAGACAGACAAACTTGAGACAAATCGACACCTTTTTTTTAAACCCCACATGTGCTCTCCCGTGAATTTCCGGGAGGCACGAAAGATCTCCTTTTAAAAGTGTCCAATCGTCCGATCCTGCTCAAATATGTGTGTTTGTAGGCCTGTTCTGGTATTGCTTTATTTGCCAAGACAGACAAACTTGAGAAAAATCGAGTGATTGTACCTTTTTTGAAGGTCTCTAACCAACTTGTCTGAAATTCACCGGAGAACAAATGTGGGGTTTAAAAAAAGGTGTCGATATGATCATGAATGACATGATATATGACATATGATGGTCGCAAAGTTTACCCCTGGTCACATCGAAATTCCGAGATTTATGTTTTGTAAATCACGTCACTCTGATCAATCCATGAGTTTCCAAGTCACCTATCAATCAGTATAAGTCTGCCGTGCACGAGAACATTTAACCAATAGCAGCTCCTAATAACTCTCTTTTAGGTTAGGTCACTTGACAGTTGACACGACCTGGTGGTGACTGATGACCACCTGACCTCGATTGACATGGGTCTCAAATTGTTTGATAGATGTACCAAAAACATTCATGAGATGTTTGAAGAGAACTGAAAAAGGGGGAGGGGGATATTCAGACAGAAGACCCCACTCCTTACTCCGGGAATGCTCATAATAAAACAAAACCCAATTTCTTCAAACAGCATTGCTTTCAGGGCGTCAGACCGTAAAGGTCATCACAATTCATAAGTACCAGTAAAGATACCCCTCTTAGGACTGCAAACGAGCAAGCAAACGACTTGCAGAAGTTGCGGCACTCCCTTCCTTATACTGATGGTAAATGATAAAATATATTATGTAATACCTTAAACCATCTCAAACAAAAAGCAGTGGCCTGCCATTCACTCAGTGATCAGCAGAGAAGCTTCTCCACAACAAGGAATTAAAGCCGGAGTCCACAAACAGGCATAGATTGCGGTCCACCAGTGACAAAGCCGTCTGTGTGCGCCAACTTACCTTTCCCTGCATCAGCAGGCGGACAGTTAGGGTGGCGGACGGACCACCATCCGACGGCATTCCCATGGCGTCCACAGACATAATTGCTGGATCACAGTATGTGCCCACCAAAGAACAGTACACAGCCTGAGGGCAGGGAGGAGGGCCAAACATCAATACAACGGTCAGCAGTCACTGAACTCAAACACACATTGCACAAAACGCCGGGCATGTAAAACACTAGTGAACAAACAATTAAAATTTACCATAAACTTGACACCATTCAAAAGAACCACTTTGGGGTGGGTGTATTGTTTTGTATTGAACAATCATGAGAGATCCACATTCTCAAATTGTGCTGTGATTACTCTGATTGCCATTGCTTTCATGTCTGTCTCAGCACATGTTAATTACTGTTCATACTAATTTTCACCTTTTCACTCAATCAATTTTCAAACCTATTTCCCAAGGTCAATTACTTGGGGGCCCTACAAATATCTGAGCTTCAAAAATGAGGATGAGAAAAAATAATTACTTGATGAAAGCACTACTACTGACTATTGAGCATTGAGGCCATTCTGCTAAAATAGGCTTGTTTAATAAAATGCAGACTTTCTTGAAGCTCTAGAGGCCAGGAACTTTAAACTTCATTTTAAAGAACCACACACAAAATGCATTTAACTGGATGCTGTGATAAGATCATTATGAGAATTTCATAGCAATTTTCTTTACATCATAACAGCTGTGGGAATATTAGTTATCATTTCTAGAGAATGACCTATGGGCTATTACACCTTTAATTATATCTAGTTTGTATCAACATAGAAAAGCATTGCTGCACATTTAATTAAAAGCAGTTTGTAATGATACTACAGCATACAACTACACAGGTTAGCTAGGTACCTAGGCACTGCTTTCCCTATAAATATCCACAAAAAGAGGATAATGGTTTAAATGGTCACCCTAAAGATGGTTACCAGCAATTTGTTTGTTATATTTCTAGGGAGCCATTTAAGATAACAGGCCTGAAAAAGAAAGAAATTTGAAAAGCCTACAGTTTGTTATTTAAATAGGCAGGAAAAGTCAATTGAAGCAGACTAAATTTTAACAAATTTATTCTAATTGGAAAAGGAAACATCTTATCTCTGTGGCCGCTGGGCCTCCACACCACCTGTCAGCCAGTGGAGGAGGGGGAGGCAGTCTGAGTCAACCCCTTTACATTTCTGATATTGATGCCATGTGAAAATCAAAGCTTTGCACACATTCCTGCATAGGCATCCATAGCTTTCAAAATTTGGTTTTCATCACACTTGAAATGAGGCCACAGTGATGGCAGAAATCAAATAAAAGATTTGCATTTCTCACTTTCCTCAATCCTCACAATGTATCTGCTATACAGGACTGAATAGGTAAATGAGACTAATCAATGAACAGGAACTAAGTTGAAAGTGTACTTTGATGTTTCAAAAGACAGCAGATGCAGTTAAATTTTCAGTTTACTACTCAGCAAAATCTGGAACTAGGACTAAACAACTGGAAAATATGGTGTGCCAAATTCAAACAGTGTGATAATACTTAATACCATGTTATCTGAAAAAATAATTGTTCATGAAAATGAATAAAACTACCCTTCACTCATCCAATTAATAAAATTATTATTTTAAAGGAAATATACCTACCATTTTAAACTTGTTTTGCTTAAGTTTTATGATTTTTTTTAAGCTTTAATGATCAGAAAATCATTAATATTTACATTTGTAATAATTATAAACTATTTTCATATAGGAAGAAATACATTCTATCTTAAGTAGAGGTTTAATAGTGGTGATGCAGAACCTTATCATGCTTTGGCCAATCATATTGCATAGCTCATATTGCATGGCCAATCATATTGCATAGAGTGATCTGAAGAGAGGCTTTGGCTTCGGCGGAGTTGGAGTCTGAGTTCAAGAAATTTGCATGTGACATGCATGTGACTGCATGAACGGACAACGTCAACACTACGTCTACTTGTCGTCCGCGTCTGCTCATCTGCCTCTGCATGCCTGGTTGCTAGTACCATTTGTGTCTTCCTTGGACTCCTTGCTTGTCTGCTGCACATGCTAGTGCTCTGCAACTGGGCCCTGCCTTGCCTTCCCCTGCCTCAGCCAAGCTTTCCACACCCTGCTAGCCTGTGACGCGCCAAGCTCGATTGCAAGAGGGCTGCTGCCTGGCTGGTTTTGACAAGGACAATGCGCAGAGGGTCTCGGAATGCCAGGGGTGCTGGCAGGCGTGGGAGAAGCGCAAGTGTCACTGGTGCTGGTGTACTTAGGGGAGAAGAGTGTCTATGCGGTACATGTGGGGATGATGTGGGAAATGACCCCATAGGGTGCGACAAATGTGAACAATGGGTCCATGGGAATGAAATGTGCTCAGGTCTACCTCAGGAGCTCATTGAGGCTATAATGAAATATGAGGGTAAAGGAATCCAATTCATGTGCATGAAGTGCCAGGTACAACATGTTGAGAATCGTGGTAAATCTCCCTCTAGCCATACTGAACCACATCTAGCCGAGACAGTCAGTCACTTATTCAATCAAGTCAAAGGGATCTGTTCTGCCATTCGAGATCTCGCATCTCAGGTTAAGACCCTGTCTGCTAAGACTGAGAAAACATGCCCCTGTGATGCTGCTGTACACACCCAAACCCAAGCTGCAGCACCACAACCACAGCCTCATCAACCACAGCAGCAACAGGACTATCGCACCATGATACGTGAGGAGCTCAAGGAGCAGAAAGAGCGTGAAAAGCGACGATCCTTTCTCATTGTCAGGGGTCTTCCTGCTAACTCAGCCTCAGAATTTATCAGGAAGTTTGCTCAGCTCACTGATGACTGCATGGGAATGAGGGTTGAGCCATCTGAAGCCTTTGCTATAACTGGTCACTCAAACTTCTATCGCATCAGGGTACCAGATGATGACCAACGGAAAGAGATCCTGGAGAAGGCAAAGCAACTAAAAGGCTCTCGATATGACAAAGTTTTTGTCAACAGGGACCTGGCTTATTCACAGAGAACCGAGCTCTACCATCGTCGCCAGGCCCGCCGGCAGCAGGAGCCTGGGTTGGGAGCTGGGGACCAGAGACCTGTGGATGTTCTTAATGATGCTCCACGTCAACAGGCTGCTCTCCCACAAGCTGCCGCTGGTGCCCCTGCCCCTGCCCCAGCTAACGCGTCTACCCAAGCGGGTTCGGGAAACTAGCTCCCAGCCTGCAGACTGCCTCAGTGATCCGGATTGCTCAAGTCAATGTTAATGGTTTGCCATCCAAGATGAATCAGCTTAACAACTTTGCCAAACTCCATGACCTTGATATTGTATGTATAACTGAGTCACATCTTCTTAACCACACAAAGGATTCATTTGTACAGATGCCTGGATATTCACTTATTCGGAATGATGTTGCTGGTACTGTCTACAAGCATGGTGTTTGTGTATATGTGAGAGAAAATGTTGTTACAAATGGTGTCACAACTCCTGTCCCAAATGTGCTAACTTTCTGCTTGACTATCTACAACACTTATGTAGTAGTTGTTTACAGACCGCCTTCAAACTTGGAAGCTGAGAATACCATGCTGATGTCTTTCCTTTCAGACTTCTGCACTGACAGAGAGGTGATTGTTTTGGGAGACTTCAATCTGCCAAACATTGACTGGGATGCTCCAAATGGGTTTCAGAACTGTTCAATGCTCGAGAGAGATTTCTGCAATCTATTCAGCCTTGCCGGTCTTACTCAATGGGTCACCCAACCAACTTACCCCAGATCAGGAAACATCCTTGATTTGGTACTGACTTCTGAGACAGACCGCCTTGGACTGTTGGAGGTTTGTCCCCCACTCCCAGGTTGCGATCATTGCCCAACTCTTTTTGATTATATATTTGAGATGCAAAGTACAAATGTGCCCTCAGGTCCCCCACAGATGAGCAGGAGAGCCTGGAGCAGAGGTCATTATGAACTGATGTGCCAGAGACTAAGGACTATTGACTGGGATTTTGAATTAGCACATCGTGATTGCAATGATTCCTTCAACCACTTTACTAAGCTTATCTGTGATTTGACAGACGAGTTTGTACCTGAACAGACATCAAACAGAGGTAAACCATCCTGGCAAAAGAGACCCCCTACTAGTCTAATGCACCGTCGGCGCAGGGCATGGCAGACCTACAAATTAGTAAGGGAACGTAAAGGGAGAAAAGCTCATGAGTCTCGCATGGCCTATCAAGAGTTTGCTTCTGTCAATAAGGAGTTAAAAGGGTTTGCTGTGAGATCCCAGAGTCTGTATGAAGCTAGCCTAATGGAGAGGTCCGCTGAAAACCCTAAACTCCTGCACTCCTACATCAGATCCAAGAAGGTGGGATGCCCATCTGTTGGCCCCCTGCTTCTCCAATCTGGGGAAGTGAGTGATGACGCCCAGGCTATGACTGAAGTGTTTGCCACCTCTTTTGCATCGGTGTATTCGACTAACTCACCAACCAACCCTGCCCCTCACCAGGAGTTTGACGGGTCACTTCAAAATGTTGACCTGACGACCGAAGACATTTGCTCTGCGCTGATGGCCCTTGACCCACACTCAGCCATGGGCCCTGACAGACTGAATCCCTTGGTACTTAGGCGTTGTGCTGCAGAACTGGCTCGTCCCTTACTCATGATTTTTTCCAGATCTCTCCAGGAAGGCCAACTGCCTGTCCTATGGAAGCTGTCCCATGTTATACCGATATTCAAAAAAGGCCGACGATATGATCCACTTAATTACAGGCCCATCAGTTTAACTTCCGTGGTGTGCAAGAGCATGGAACGAATTATTTGTGCCAAACTTCGTGACTACTTGGAATCAAATGACTTACTGACACCAAATCAGTTTGGTTTCAGGGCAGGCAGGTCAACTATGGATCAGCTGTTACTTGTGTATAACGCCGTTTCGAGAGCAGCTGACATGGGTGGAGTCACAGATGTAATATTCTTCGATTTCAGCAAGGCGTTTGATGTGGTCTGTCACAATTTGATGATTGCTAAGCTGAGGTCTCTGGGTATCCATGGCCGTTTGCTTGATTGGCTTTCCTCATTCCTATATGGCAGGGAGATGCAGGTTTGTGTTAAGGACTGTAGGAGCCGGCCAAGGAATGTCCTTAGTGGTGTCCCACAGGGTAGTGTCCTTGGACCACTTCTGTTCCTAGTATATGTGAACAGCATAGCCTCACAGTTAACAAGCAGTTATAAAATTTTCGCCGATGATCTTAAAATGTATGCCTGTGTGTCTCATGCTCCCGCTCTATCAACACTGTCTCATTATCAACATGTGCAGAAAGACATCGACCTCTTACACACCACAGCAGCATCATGGGGTCTTAGAATGAACTCAGATAAATGTGTCGTGCTAAGATTTGCCAACTCTAGATCAAAGCTAGTCTCTCCAGAGTACTTCCTTGACGGCCAACAGATCCCTTCTGCTGAGAGCCATCTGGACTTGGGCGTTACCGTTGACTGCCAATTAAAGTTTCACGAGCACATCAGGGGTGTGGTTCGTAAGGCTAGTGGTTTGGCACAGAATCTGTTAAAGTCGACTGTCTGCCGATCGCGTGAATTCATGTTGTTTCTATTGCTTACTCATATTCGTCCAATGCTTGAATATTGCTCTTGTGTCTGGTACACTGGCTACATAGAGGATATGCGACTCTTGGAGAGGGTTCAGCGACGTTGGACCAAGCGAATCGATGGGCTAGCCTCATTGAGCTACGCTGATCGCTTGCAGGAGCTGAACTTGTATTCGGTTCAGGGTCGACTGACACGCGCTGATCTCATTCAGTGTTGGAAAATCTTCAATAGGAAGTCTTGCATTGCTCCTGATGAACTGTTTAGCCTGTGTCCCCAAACTCGCACCAGAGGTCACTGTCACAAGATCTTTCCCTTGCACTCACGCACAGATGTTAGGAAGCGTTTTTTCACTGTGAGGTGTATGCGTCTTTGGAATGCCCTACCCGCAGAGGCGGTATGTGCCCCAAACCTATCTAGGTTCAAGGAGGTCCTGCATGACACTTTGCATGGGAGTTTGTTCGCCTATGTCTAACGTTACTTGAACAACTGTACAAAACTTTAGCGCGCTGCATATTCTGCCGGCCTCTCTGCACTGTATTCATTTTCTTTTTCTTTTTTTTTCTCTGTGAAAAACCACAGTGTGTTTGTACATGCATACACGCCAGACTCAACGGAAGACGCTAAATTCCAGCTTTCTGCGCTCGCCAACCACAAGTGAAGATCTCCCCCGGCTGGCGCGTCTAGGATTCAGGGTTCCTGTCTGTCCTACTCTTTCCTTCCATCTACATTTCTTGACACTGGGAACCCAACCAGGTGAGTCAACCAGGTGAGCTCAAAAGCAAACGCATCCAGATTGTCTAAGCTTAGCCTCTGCGACAAGTGGCTGCATTTTAGGCATTCTTCTACAACTGACACATTCCTCTGCATGGCACTCTTTTAGGAACAATAAATACCGGGATGTTTGCATAGGATGATCATTGGAGCGTAAAGCTTTACGCTCCTAACGTGCTAGTCTCAGCTTAAGCTACAAACCTGCTATTACAGCTCAAAACCCCATGCTTAAGGCATAAGTCTTTTATATGTTTAAGTCAAGACCCTATCCAACTCCTTTAAAACCTGAGCAGTGAGCACGACCTTGGCCACCAACGGTGCGCCAGAATTGTCTAAACATGCACCCATCATCAAATTTTCAGCAACTGCTCAGGTAAATATCAATATCCAATTTACAGTGGGCATTATCGCAATACATAGCTTATATTTTTAATAGTAAATCAAGAATCTACAAAGCAAGGCTCACCTACCGGACTGCAATTTCGGTTAACCATGACTCTGACAAAACCCAACCCATACGAAAGCTATGAAACAATATTTCGAAATTCCGACAGCTAATTAACCATATTTTGGTATAAAGAGCTCACCTTGCTAAAACAAATTCACAGCAGACCAGTCAAGAATTGTGTCCAACGGAAAGTCAACACAATGCACCAGGGGACGCTCACCGGTTTTCGGCGGCACGCGAACGGAAAGCGCAGAAGCTTTTCCCAAAAATACATTTTCATTTTTACCTCAGTTTATTGTCTGCCTCTTTTCCATCATGTTTCATTGTCTAAATAATCAAATTTATTTTTAGATAAATTTAAGCAAGAATAAATTAATCTTTAAAGAATTTGCAGATAAGAAAGAATTTGGGTAAAGGGCTACGTAACTACAACTTTTCGGCCGACACCTAGATGGCAGCAAGTGTATGACATTGCGCTGTCGGCAAGGCTGTCGGGCTCAAGATACCTATAAATAACGGGTCGGGCTCGGGTAAACCCACACCTATCCGTGCTTCTATCCTCAGGATACTGAAATCCTTCTCCTCCACACCGCCGCCCCCTTCCGGGCTAGACAGGCAACTTTATCTCATGCGGGCTGCTCCCTTGGAGCGGCACCGCTGCTCCCGAGGGAGCGCACCCCGTAGCCGGGTGCAGTGAGTGCCTTGGGGCTGGGTGGCCTGTCTTCGGACGGGCTCAGCCCCGGCGACTCACTAGGATGCCTGCCCAGACCAATGTCTCTCCCCCTAATTCCTATCGTCCTTCCGGCTCTGCAATGGTCTTGTCGACCGAAAGGGCCTAACCCAACAAAACAAACAAACGGGTAAACCCAAGGCTATGTGGTAAACCCTAGGGGCTCGGCAGTTGGGTAACCAGTCGCAGATAGCCGCGCACGGCCGGTCCCCCACTGACTTCGCTTGGGCCTTGGCAGCGGCCTGCCACCAGTCACAACCATACCCGTTAGGAGCTCAAAAACGTCAAGCACACGTCGCGTTTCGAACCCGGACTTTTGCAACCGGGACGTGCACTCTCACCACATGGAGTCCAACGCCCTACCGACCAAGCCACCGGGACAGACAATTACCTAGGGGTTTCGCCTCGTGACATTGACAGACGTCAGACACTTTGGCCGAACTTTAGCCGTAGCACTGAGCAAACTGCGCAGGGCGATAGGTGCCCGTAGCGTTTAGGTTGCAGGTAACCTGTGGGCTGAATGCGATGTAGTGAGTTGGAGCCCCACTCCCGGGTCTGGTTTTATCTAGACACGAACCAAAACCTTTCCTTCTACTGCAACACAGACAAGCACGACGATATCTTTCCCCAATATCTTTCCCCAATATCCTGTAAAAAAGTCAAAATTATCGCTTATAAATGTCTCGCTGTTTCATTTTTAAAGAAAATATTTTTTGGTCATTTTTCTGGAGCCATTTCTACTCTTTTGTCTTCGGATTCTTTTCGACCCGATAAAACCCACCACAACTGAACGCGCCAAGTGGAAAAATACCCAACTCAAATAACAGTTTAGAAAAGCCCAAGACATCATGCAACTATTGACTGAATAGTTGCATGCTATTAATGCGTCCTAGATTTCAATTATCATTGTTCAACATTTTGGCTGGAACTGGCGCCATGGGTGTAACTTTGTATACTTTCGAGGTCCCATGTGGGACCCCAATGCGAACATTTGGGACCCCAATTGTCATTTTGGGACCCCAATAGTGGAGGCCCCCGAGACGCATCAGCTTCTTTGCAAACGGAGGTCCGATATTCATATAAAAGGTTCTCTGTTTAAATAGGAGGCCCCTTGGACAAATCGGAGGCCCTGTTGGACAAATAGGAGGCCCCCTGAACAAGTAGGAGGCCCCCTGAACAAGTAGGAGGCCCCCTGAACAAGTAGGAGGCCCCCGGAAAACAGGAAGTCCCCTGGAGAAATAGGAGGCTCTCTGGACAAGTAGGAGGCCTCCTGGACAAATAGGAGGCCCTAGGCAAATAAGAGGCCCCTAGACAAATAGTAAGCCCCATGGACAAGTAGGAGGCCCTCTGTACAAATAGGAGGCCCCCCTGCAAAAATAGGAGGCCCCCTGGACAAATAGGAGGTCCTAGACCTAGACAAACAGGAGGCCCCTTTCACAAAAGGAGGCCCCTGGACAAATAGGAGGCCCCATGGACAAGTAGGAGGCCCTCTGTACAAATAGGAGGCCCCTGCAAAAATAGGAGGCCCCCTGGACAAATAGAAGGTCCTAGACCTAGACAAAAAGGAGGCCCCTTTCACAAAAGGAGGCCCCCTGGACAAATAGGAGGCCCCTTTCACAAAAGGAGGCCCCTGGACAATTAAGAGGCCCCCTGAACAAGGAGGCCCCCTGGATAAAGAGGAAGCCCCCTAAAAATAGGAGCCCTCTGGATAAATAGGAGGCCGCTTGGAAAATAAGAGGCTACTTTAACCAATAGGAGGCCCCTTGGACAAATAGGAGGCCCCCTGAACATGTAGGAGGCACGCTGGACAAATAGGAGGCCTCTTGGGCAAAGAGGCCCCCTAGAAAAATAACAGGTCCCTTGGACAAATAGGAGGCCCCCTGGACAAATAGGGGACCTCTTGAACAAATAGGAGGCTCCATGGACAAGTAGGAGCTAGAGGCTCTCTGTACGAATAGGAGGCCCCCTGGACAAATAGAAGGCTCCCTTAACAAAAAGGAGTCCCTTCAAAAAAAAGGAGGCCCCGGGACAAGTAGGAGACCCTTGGACAAATAGGAGGCCCCTGCACAAATATGAGACTCCTAGTCGAATAAAAGACCCCTGGATAAATAGGAGGCCCCTGGACAAATAGGAGGCCCCTGAACACGTAGGAGGCCCCCTAGATAAAGAGGAGGCCCCCTGGAAAATAGAAGCCCCCTGGATAAATAGGGGACCTTCTGGAGAAACAGGAGGCCTCCTGGACAAATAGGAGGTCCCATAGACGAATAGGAGGCCGCTTGGACAAATAGGAGGCGCCGTTAACCAATAGGAGGCCCCCTAGACAAACAGGAGGCCCTCTGTAACAGTAGGAGGCTCTCTGTACGTACAAGAGACCGGCGCTCGACCTGTAGAAGCTTAGCCGTATGTACGCTAGGAGGCTCTCTGTGCAAGTAGTCGAAGTAGGAGGCTCTCTGTACTGTACCTACAATTACAAATAAGAGGCCCCCTGGGTAACTTAGATGCAACACAAATCGGAGGTCACCTATAAAAAATCGGGACTCTGTTGGAATACCTGATTTAATAAATTATTTTCCTGATATTCAAATTACTTAGGTAATCCTCGTCCGCACATGGGGGGGGGGGGGGGCAGTGGTTGCCACACCCCCCACCCCGACCTAGGTAGTTTTTTTCTGCTCTGCACTAAACATTTTGATTGCTAGAAGTCGGATATTTCGTATAGCTGCTGCTCTATCCTTTTTTAGCGTCCACTGAAAATTTCAAGTTTCTGTGGTTTTTGGTTTCGGAGATATGACCTTATTCTTCAGGTAATGTCATAACCCAAATGACAAATACCCAATATCTTGCGTTGGCGTTGGGTCTTGTGAGCTTTTGACACCTTGATTTCGGCCTTTTTTGTCAGTCTTACCTCCCACCTATCATGGAACATGTTGTTCAATGATGTAGAGATGCCAGGGTCAGGGTCAAGGTCAACCTAGGTCGTCTAAAAATATTGCGTTTTAGGCAAGCTGAATTTACTTTCGTGAAGTTTCTTTGACTGTATTTTTGGCAAAAGCTTCTCAGTTCATGATCTCATGTAATATGGACACATTCACAGTCGGTGCACACATCAGTATACTCGTACACACAGACACACACAGACATACAAACACATGTCATTGACCTTGAGCTAACTTGACCTGAAATGACCACAGCCAGCAAAAACCTAGTCGGATAGTGTGACAAAGAGGTTCTAGCTGGCTTGGCACCACAATACGGCAGCGTCATCGGTACATGATGAGCAGCGCACGTGATATTCCAACGGGCAACGGTGACCCCAAACAGCAACATTCTTTAGTTTGACCTGACCTGGAAGGTCAATGACTGACCTGATGAGGTAAAATTGGTATCATTGGATTCGTCACTTCCCAAAGAATCTGTTGCTCTTGACCGCAAGGCTTAAAATCTTGTAAGAAAAAATTGTGGTGATGTCGAATAAGATACCTACACAAGCAGCGGGCCAACCCATCATATACCGATGACGCTGCCGTATTAGTGCCAAGCGAGCTAGAACAGCTCTTTGTCACACTATCCGACTAATTTGCTGGCTGTGGTCATTTCACGTCAAGTTAGGTCAAGGTCAATGATATGTGTTTGTATGTCTGTGTATGTCTGTGTATGTACTGATGTGTGCACAGATCGGTTTGTGTGTCCCTATTACACTTGATCATGAAGTGAGAAGCTTTTACTAAACATACAGTCAAAGAAACTTCACGAAAAGTAAATTCCTGAAGCGCAATAATTTTAGATGACCTAGGTTGACCTTGACCCTGACTCTGACATCTGTACATCGCAGAACAACATGTTCAATGATAGGTGGGAGGTAAGACTGGCAAAAAAAAGCCGAAATCAGCGTGTCAAAAGCTCACAAGGCCCATAGCCATCGCAAGATATTGGGTATTCGTCATTTAGGACATGACATGACCTGAAGAACAAGGTCATATCTCCAAACCCAAATGCCGCAGAAGCTTGAAATTTTCAATGGACGCTGAGAAAAGATAGAAAAGCAGCTATACAAAGAAAATCAGGTTTCTAGCTTTAAAAATGTTAAGTGTAGAGCAGAAAAACTAACTTGGGGGTGGCGACCCTCCCCCCAGGTGCCGGCGAAGGTTAACCCTCACACTTTCTGGGGTCGGCTTACGGCTAGATTCCTTGCGCAATGCTGTGCCGTTAATTTTTTTTCTATTATAAAGGCATTGTGTTTTATTGTCAAAAGTGAAAAAGCCAGAAATTTTCGTCGATTTCGGATGCCGCGGGGGATATTTACATACAATGTCACCCTGCTGGCCTGGATCAACCAGTAGGGTCAGGTGACCTACCATTTCTTTATCGATATTAAAAAAAAAATCATGGCATCAGAGCTGTGACGAAAAATAAGTGGCCTAAATCCGATGAGAAAACTGGATTTGGGGGTACCCCATGTTTGGCTTCTGAGCCTCTGGTCCCCCAATGAAAATTTCTTAGAGGAGGCCCTGGCGTGGCTCGTAAATTACCGCTTCCGCAATTGGAGGCCCCTAATTGCTTGGAGGCCCCCACTAAATGGAGGCCCCCTTGGACGTTTGGGACCCCAATGGTGATGTCAAAGTTTCACCCATGACTGGCGCTGCCTCTCGCTTGCCCGTTTGTTTGAGATAATGATTCCCTTTACTCGCATTC